CGCTGGGTGGGCCACGTATACCGCATGCGGAGCAAAGCGCAGGCAAGGAGCAGCAGCTCACACGACAAACTTGGCGTACTGCGGCAGCTGCCAGTACTGCAGGTACTGCAGATACCGCAGAAAGGCTTCGTCCTCAAAGTATCTGTTCTGGGCCAACCCTGCGGGGCATCGAAAACACACACACACACACACCAGCAACAGCAGCAAGATTCGGATGATGGAACAGCACGGGACGAGCGAGTGTGGCTGTGTCGGGGCAGCTCAGCGCCTCTCCTGCTCGCAAGCCCATCCATCCAACAAGGTAGGCCAGCCATCCCGGCAGGCGAGCCAGTGGCAGCGGGCCACCAGGCCGGGCGGCAGCCAAGCAGGCGGCAGCCAAGCAGGAGCCAGCAGGGAGGCTCACAGTTGAGGTAGCCGGGGTTGGCCAGGCAGTGCAGGAACTCAAGCTCCAGCTCAAAGCGCTGCCGCTCGCTGCACCCCGTCTCTACCTCGCCCGCACGCCTGCGCGCGGCAGGAGCAGGGCCAGCCTGGGCAGCAGCAGTGCCCTCTGCGCGGCGGCGGCAACGGCGGTGACGGGAGCAGCCGCAGGGCATCAGCGGTGACGGGAGCAGCCGCAGGGCATCGGCGGTGTCGGCGCTGCGCTGCTCGATGCGGTATGTGAGCCGATGCGCATTTCCTCGGGATGCGTGGCAGCCCCAGGAGGTGCAGCCAGCTGAACGTTGCCGGGTGATGGCCGCTCACCTGGCATCAGGCTCCGCTGCTGCCATGGTAAATCGTTGGCCCGATTGCAGGTGCTGCCGGACCGCTCCCTGCGCCCCTTTGCGCGCCTGTAGTGTACATGTACTGCTTGGACCACGCAGCACGTGGTTTGCGGGCCTCAAGGCGTGCCTCTTGCGTTCCGGGCGATTCAGTCGGGATTGCACAGATAGCTGCACGGCGCTGGTCCACCTCTGCCGACCCTCCGACCTGCACTGCACCGTGTTCTGCTGGGAAGGCCCTGCACACATCTGTTGGACAACGGCGTTGACCCCTGGTAGAAGTCAGCACGGCCGACGACGCGAAACAGGCACGGTCCGACAGCGGCGGCGGCGGAGCGGCACCTGCGGTTGCGGCACCGACCCGCGGTGTGCTCGCTTGTGCTCGTCTGTGCACCCAGACATGCCCTTTCCTCTGTTCTCTGCCTCAGGAGGTCGTCGTCTCCCTGCTGTGAGTGCGCCAGGCTCGCCCGCTCACTCTTCCACCCGCGGGCACGTCCTGGGGACACCAGATCGGCATGAGCGTCGTCAGCGGCTCCTACTGCCTGGGCAACTCCCCCAGCAGCAGCGGCTACACCACGCCGCGCTTCCGCCCGGTGCCGCCCATCGACGCCTACCTCCCCACGCGGGTACTGGACTCCAAGTGAGACCGGCAGCCGCCCCTGCAGCCCCTGCACTCGCCGCCTCCCTGCTTCCTACCCACCACCCAAACAGAGAAGCTGGCCGCCCGTCCTCCCTCTCCCTGACTCCCTCAGCTGGTCCCCCCCCCACCACCACCCCACCCCCACACACACATGACCACCCTTCCCTCGCCGCTGGCAAAAGAACGCTTGCTCCGGCCCCAACCGAACCTCTCACCTCTCACCTCTCACGCTCTCCCCGCTGCACACCCTGCCACACCGCAGGCGGGCCCAGCGTCCGGCCCTGGACCGCGTCAACCTGCGCTGCTGGCACCTGCCCGGCTACCTGTTCAAGGATTGGTACTCCACCCTCGTCAACTGCCGCTGGCACCGCTTCTACGCACTCTTCCTGCTCCTCTACTTTGGCATGGTGCGGGCTGCGTCTGGGAGGCCGGCTGGCAGGCCGGCCGGGGAACCGAATGGCCATGTGCCAGCGCCGCCGCCCTCCAGGGCCTGGGCCAGCACATCTGCAGTCCTGCGCTTCCGTCCCGGCATCCCGCCAATACGCCTCCCGTCTCTCCTTCCTCCCGCCGCCCCCCACCTCGCCTCCCTCCCTCCCTCCCGCGCTTCGTCCCGCCTCCCATCTGTCCCTCCTCCCGTCGCCCCCTCCTGCCGCCCATCCCGCGCCTCCTTCCCTGCCCCTCCGCGCAGTTTGCGGCCTTTGCGGCGCTGTACGTCAGCCAGCCCCCCACCTGCATCTCCAACTCACAAAACTTCTGGCACGCCCTCTGGTTCAGCGTGCACACCTCCAGCACCATAGGTGCGGCCCGCCTGGGCGCAGGGAGGCCAGCGCGGCGGGATGCAGCGCACTGCAGGGCAGCGGCGAGCGGCTAGGTGGGCGGCTCCAAGCCGGTGTGGACGCCGCACCCCCACGCCTGTTCCACAGCATCCCCGGCTGGCTGCCCGTCCGCGCTCACCCCCTGCAGGATATGGCGCCCAGGCGCCCAACCCGGACTGCTACCTGCTCCAGCTGGGCATCATGGCGCAGGTGCTGGTCAGCCTGTTCATGCAGGGCACGCTGCTGGGCCTGGTCTTTGCCCGCATCTCCAACTCCGCAGGCCGCTCCGCCACGATCCGGTTCAGGTGGGGGTGCAGGGCTGCGGCTGTGGGCGTGTGCCCGCTGCCTGGGATCCCGCCCTGCTGGGCATGCCGCGTGCTGCCCACCACCTGCCTCCCCGCCGGCTGCCGCCGCACTCCAGTGCCCGCTGCCCTCCCGCCCACAAAACACCGCTCACTCACATGCAAGCTTCAGGGAACCCACCCTCCTTTCTTCGTGCTGCAGCAAGGTGCTGTCGATGTGGGTGGGGGAGGACGGCGTGTACCGCCTGACCTTCCGGGTCGCCAACATGCGCAGGCACCAGGTGTGAGACGCTGCGGGGGGGTGCCCTGCGCTGCCTGCTGGGGCATGCAATGCCGGCTGGCAGCCGCGGCCTTGCATCATGCTGTCTGCTTGCCCAAACCTTGCTGCTTGAACCGAAACCATTTCGTCTGGCCCCGCGCGCAGGTGCTGAAGCCCGAGGTGCGCATGCTGCTGCTGCGCCGCCAGCTGTCCCACCCCTTCAGCTCCGACGCCTCCTGGGAGTACCTCTACTCGGAGCTGCCGGCAGAGGTGGGCTGCTGGTGTGTGACTCGTGACAGACGCGTGTGGTGGCGTGTGGTGGCCCGGTCTCATTGTGTGAAGCAGAGGATGGCCGCTGGGGAGTGCTACAAAGCCCGTCGTGGCAGCCGGCTGGCGTCCCTGAGGCTGCCGGGTTGCGCGGGCCTCTGCCCGCCATGTGCCGTTCTGGCGCACCTGACTTGACCGCTCCTGCTGCATCCTCCTACCCGTCCCGCAGCACGTGGGCGGCGGCAGGCTGTGGCTGGGCGTGCCCTCGCTGATCGAGCACCGCGTGGACTCCAAGTCGCCGCTATCTGGCATGAGCGAGGGAGACATCAAGGGGTCGGGTGGGTGGGGAGGTGTTGCTGCGAGAGGGCCGTGGGGCGGTGGTGGTCTGTGGCTGTGCCTGTGCCTGTGCGATGGGTGGTGTTCTGGTGGAGCAGGGCGGCGGACACAGCAATACGGGCAGGCCTGGCTGGGCGCGGGCGCACCGTGGGTCACTCGCTCTTCTCCCCGCTTCTGCCGCTGCCTTGCTGCGCAGACATGGAGCTGATTGTGCTGCTGGACGGCATCGACGAGACCACCTCCCGCTGCCTGCAGGCGCGCTGGCCGCCTGCTGCTTGCCATGTAAATGTAGAGGGCCGGTGCTGCTGGGGTGTGAAGCCCAACGTGCCTGCCTGCCTGCCTGCCGACCGCGGCCAGCCGCACCAGACATGCCTCTGCCCGTGTTTCCTGGCATCTCGGGCTGATGCGCTGTGCCGGCCACCCTCTGCCCTGCAGGCCCGCCACTCGTACGTCCCGTCAGACATCCGCTGGCACCACCGCTTCGACTCCTGCCTTCAGCGCAGGTGGGCCTGGAGCCGTGCTACCAGCTGCCCGTGCTACCAGCTGCCCATTTCGCTCCGGCTGTGGCACAGTGCATGCCCCGTGCAGCATGTTGAGACATGCCACTGCCACTCCTGCCCTTCTTCTCCCCAACACCGCGCCCGCCCGCCCGCCCACCCACACCGCCCGGCCTGCTGCAGGCGCAGCGGCAAGCTGGGCGTGGACTTCAGCCGGTTTGACAGCACAGCGCCGCGCAGCGCCTCGTCCGCCAGCCTCCACGTTCTGCATGCCATGGCCAGCGCCCAATCCATCCAGTCTGTGCCCAGCGGGGGCGCCAGAGGCAGCTTTGGCGCGGCGGCGGCGGCGGCGGTGCAGCAGCACCTGCAGCAGCAGCAGTACCGTGCCGCCAGCATGGGCACGGGCGCGGCGGCGCCGAGCAGCTTTGCAGGAGGGCTCGCCGGCCCGTACGCGGGTTCCCTTGGCAGCATGCCAGCGCCAGCACCAGCAAGCACGCTCGGACCCACGGCGCACAGCACGGCGCCAGGGCCGGTTTTGGCAGCGCCGCGCGACGCCCGCACCGGCTGAGCATTGCTGCTGCCGCCAGCCTTGCACTGTGTTGTGAGCTCAACATGAAGTGTCCTTTTGCCTAGCAATCTTCGCTCAGATTGCTGTCACACGCATTGCTAATGTGGAAAGAATGAACATGATGAGATGAGAAACATGGTTGCTTGGCAGCAGAAGGGAACGGAGTGGAGCGGGGAGCGTCGGGTGGGGAGCGCGAGCGGGAGGGAGAGCGAGCGCGAGGGAAAATAGGACGGAATGGCATCGGATGACATGAGAGAAGAAAGGTAACCGGCAAAAGGTACACATCGCGGGGTATTGTGGGCTACATCAATACAACCGAGTGCTGGGACGGTGCACGCGAGGCAGGCGCTAGAGGCTGGCGGTGGCAGCGCCCTGCTCCTCGCCATCCTCCTCCTCCTGCTCCCCCTGCTCCTGCTGCTGCCGCTGCTGCTGCCGCTGCTGCTCCAGCCCCGCCGCCTGCAGGTCGGTGCTGCTGCTGCTGTTGCTGCCTCCCGCCGCCACGGGTGCTGCCGCCGCCGCGTGGTCGCCGCCGCCGCCTGGAGCTGGAGCTGCTGCCGTGCTGGGCGGCGCCACCAGCCCCACCAGGCACTTGGCTAGCAGGAAGTCGTCGTTCACCCAGGCGTGGTGCTTGTTGAAGAGCGCGGTGCCGTCCTTGCCGGCCACCTTGAGCAGGAGCGGCACGCCGCCGGGGTGGAAGCCCAGGTAGTGTGTGATGTTGTACACCTGCAGTACAAGCAGTACAGGCAGTACAGGCAGCGTGTGTGTTGGTGTGTGGTGATGTGGGTGTGGAGGGGATGGTGTGGAGGCATATGGGGAGGCGCAGAGGGCGGCAGACGGCTTGGAACGGTGTGATGCCGCAGCCCAAGCTCTGTGCAACGCCGGCAGCACCCGCGCAGGGCTGTTGCAGGCAGGCCCGTCACGCATGCGCAGCTGCAGCCGGCCGGCCAGCAGCAAGCAGCTTCAGCAGCGTCAGCACAGCAGCAGCGGCGGCGCACCCTGCCGCGCAACACGGTCCACGCGTCGTCTCGCGTGTTGTGCCGCGCCACTTCTTCCATGGTGATGCCACGCCGCGGCCGCTGCCCCCCCAGCCCCGCCAGGTCTGGGTGCGTCTGTGTCAGCCGCACCCAGTCCATCTGGCTGAAGCCCTTCTCAAAGGGCACCTTCTTGCGCGGCGCGGGCGAGATGCGGTGGTGCCGGCTCAGCACAACGGGCTTGCCTAGCGACCCGCCCATGGCGCCGTCTCCGCCTGCCGCTGCTGCTGCTGCCGAGGGCTCGCCGGGGCCCGCGCCTGCTGCTGCGGAGCGGTCGGTGACCGTGGCGCCAGACAGCAGCGGGTTCTGCAGGGCGGCAGCGGCGGCAGGGGAGGATGGGTAGTCACCGCGGCCGCGCGGCACGCCAGCCGCACTTGCGCTCTGTCCCACAGGCACCCCAGGTGAGGCGAGCAAAGGCCAGAGAGAGCCTGGCCGCGATCGCGCGGGGGCGCTCACCGAGGGCGGGAGCGGTTTGGGCTTGGGGAGCGCGGGGAAGCTGAAGGAGCCACCTCCGCCCTCAACTGCCGTGCCCTCACTCATATCAGTCTGCCGCGGGTCTCGGGGGGACGAAAAGGCAAGTGGCGTGTGGTGGGCACACTCCACCAGGTATCGCGTGGAATAGTCAGTAACGGTGGCGCTGATTGCAGGGGACAGGCCGAAATGGGGGAGCGCCGTCGGAATGAGCTAGAAACCTGGCGCACGCTGCCCCCGCCCCACCATGCGCCGCCAGCCCTCTGCATCTGGGCATTGATTGATTCGAAATTCATGGGATTCTGTGCCTGCTGAAACGAGTAAAAAGGGACAAAAGAATACATGCTGGAAAGCAGAACGGGCATCGTAACCAACCAACGTTTGAAGCACAGAGGACAGGAGGGGCCACGGTAGCGGATCAACCTGCTGGCACCATCTGGCTCATCAAGGAATCAAGTATCAACTGCTCTATCCCAAATTGTGCCTCTGTCAACAGGCAGCAGCTATCTCTTGCTCGCTAGCAGCCTGGCGCAGGCAGGGTCTGCCACCCCCACTAGCCCGTTGCAGTCGTTGTCCTTGCCTGCTCGGCAGCTGGTCCGCGTCTCTCTGCCTGCAGGCGTTCGCCTGCACACGCTCGCCACCAGTGCCCCCGTGGCGGTGCGCTTGTGACGGATCACCACCCCTGCTGCTGGCTGCTCCCAAAGCTCGTTGACTGCACGGCAGCGGGGGCAACGGGGGGAGCAAGTGGAGGGATCAGTGCTCTGAGCAGGCAGCAAAACAGCCCACTGGCAGCAGTGTGCAGCCCTGTGCTGCGGCAGGGCACGGCAGGACAGCGCCGGCCACCTGGCTGCCGCTGTCAGGCCGGCGGCCTGCCGCGGTCCGCCCCCGGCCAGCTCGGCGAGCAGGCAGCACGCGGGCTGGCTGGCTGGCAGGCTCACGTGACAGCGCGGCCCTCCACTGGGTGGGCTGGGCGTCAAATGTGTGAGAGATAGGGGCCTGGTAGATGTTGAGCCGGTTGCTGCGCTGCCGGTCCATGCCCGCGTCGCCGCCGGTCCTGGCGCGGAAGCCGGCGAAGATGGGGTCCACGCCCGTGGTCCAGTTGGCCACGATGCGCACGCCGCGGGGGCCGGTCAGGCGGGGTTCATTCATTCATTCAGCACACAGACCGGCCGCCTCTTGCTCGAGGGCGGCCCACTTTGGCCTGGGCAGCCCGGGCCGCCCTCCCCCCCGGGCGCATGTTCGGTGTTGGAGGGGTGCGCCCAGCGATAGGGGGCCCCTGAAGGCATGCGCCGAGGCCGGGAAGCGTGGTTCGGCGCTGCTGCACGCTTGGCGACTTGAACAGAACCGCGTGCCGCCGAGCTGCGGCCGCAGTTTCCGGCCCACAGTCTACGGCCGCAGCCACGGGACTCGGCGGCACGGCGTTTGGGCCCAAGCTTGCTGCCGCCGCCGCCGTGCCCGGGGGGCAGCGCGGCGGCGGCGGCGGCACGCTGCGACGCCCCCGAGCCACCGAGCTGCGGCCGTAGCTTTCCTGCCAGAAGCCCACGGCCACAGCCACGGGACTCGGCGGCACGGC